TCAGCCTTAAAAATGAATGAGATACTGCCATTTGCAACAACATGGATGGACCTTGAGAGAATTATATTAAGTGAAACAAGTCAGGCACAGAAAGAGAAATACCACGTGTTCTCACTTATTGGTGGGAGCTAAAAATAAATAAATAAATTCACACACACACACACACAAAAAAAAAAACCGGGGGGGGTGGGAGGAAGAAGACTTAACAACTACAATTCCTTGAAGTGATACGACAAGCAGACAGAAAGGACATTGTTGGGTCGGAGGGAGGAGAGGGAGGGGGGTTTCAGTAATGGGCCACAATAATCAACCTCATTGTATATCGACAGAATAAAACTAAGAGAGGAAAAAAAAAAAAAGGAATATGTAGAAATGGCCTGACTACTCCATTATGTCTTCTAGTGAAATTGTAACCAAGCATTTATGTATTGAAATACAGTAAATATTATTTTCTTATGTCTTTCCTTGTATTTTCTCCTTTATATAATAGGTATGACATTATATCTTTCTTTTTAAATTCTGTCTATGTAAGACATATTTTCTAGAAATTTCATAGGATAATAAAGGGGTATTACAGAATATCTGCAATAAAATGGGGCACTGGTCTAGAAGGATTGAATATTACTGATTGCTTCTCTGCTTTCCTGCATTCTTTATCTCGAAAGAGCAGAAGTTCGTAATTAATTCTATAAGAGCTTTGAATAACATCTGTCTCAATATTGACCCTTCATCTGAATGCAGTGCCCTCCCCAAACAAAAAGAAAAGAAAGAAAGAAAGATAAAAATAGTACAGTAATAGGTGGACTTACCAAGCTTGAAATCTGGATTTTGGAAAAATTCATAAAGAACATTCTGAATCTGCAAATCAAAAAAAAGAAAGAAAGAAAAGAAAAAGTAATAACAAAAAGAGAAATAAAGAAAAATAAACCATATTCTACTTCTCAATTACCACATATTCAGTATTTTAGACTAAAAGCCATCTATAGACTTTCTATTTAAGTCTTGGGTGATTTTTCTAACTCAAGGACAGAAATGGTAATAATTCATATTTAATTTATAAAATACTTAAAGATATATAAAATACTTTCACAGATCTGTCCTCAGTGATTCCCAGCCTTATTGTGTGACAAGGACTGGGATGCTGAGAGTGATCCCATTTTTCCCCTCCAGGGGACATTTCTAGCAATCCTCAGACACTGGCTGTGATGGAGCTAAGGCACCTTTGGTAATTAGCCTGGCAATCCAAAGAATCCTCTATACTTCCTCATTCTTCAATGAGTAAAGTCAAAATCTCAGAGTTCTTCTTAGTTTATTTTTTTAAAATAGATTTTATTTTTTAGAGATCCCATTTGTCCCCCGCCCACACACACACACAGCCTCCCCCACTATTATCAACATTCTGCACCAGAGAGGTACATTTGTTATGATCAATAAACCTACACTGACACATTATTATCACCCAGACTATTGAACCTATTACAGACTATAGTGAACCTATTACACTAGGGTTCACTCTTGGTGGTGTACATTCTATGGGTTTTGACAAACATATAATGACATGTATCCACCATTATGGTACTATACAGAATTGTTTCACTGCCCTAAAAATCCTCTGTGCTTTGCCTATTTGTCCCTTCCTCCCCTGTCGCTCCTGGCAACCACTGATCTTTTTATTGTCTCAGTAGTTCTGTCTTTTCCAGAATGTCATATAGTCAGAATCATACACATTGTAGCCTTTTCAGATTGGCTTCTTTCACTTAGTAATATGCATTTAAGTTTCCTCCATATTTTTTTATGGCTTGATAGCTCATTCCTTTTTAGCACTGAATAATATTTCATTGTATAGATGTACCACAGTTTATTTATCCATTCATCTACTGAAGGATATCTTGTTTGCTACCAAGTTCTGGCAGTTATGAATAAAGCTACTATAAACATCCATGTACAGTTTTTTGTGTACACATAAGTCTTCAACTCATTTGGGTAAATACCAAGGAGAGTGATTGCTGTATTGTACGATAAGAGGATGTTTAGCTGTGTGTGTGTGTGTGTGTGTGTGTGTGTGTGTGTGTGTGTGTGAGAGAGAGAGAGAGAGAGAGAGAGATAAAAACTACATAACATAAAATTTACCAACTTAACTATTTTTAAGTGTACATATATATGTATATATGTAAGTATATTCACACTGTTGTGAAACAGATCTCCAGAACTTTTTCATCTTGCAAATCCATTAAAAACAACTACTCCCCTTTCACTCCTCCCAGCCCTTGGTAACTATCATTCTACTTCCTGATAGATGAATTTGACTATTTAAATACCTCATATATGTGGAATAGTTCAGCATTTGTCTTTTAAGAGTATGTTTAGTTTTATAAGAAACTACCAGTCTTTCAAAGTGCCTTTACCATTTTGCATTCCCAGCAGCAATTCCCAGTTGACAAACTTGGTGGTGTCAGCGTTTTGGATTTTGATCATTATAATAGGTGTGCAGTGGTATATCATTGCTGTTTTAATTTTGCAATTCCCTAATGACATATCTGTTGGGCATCTTTTCATATGCTTATTTGCCATCTGTATATCTTCTTTGTGAAATGTCTGTTCGGGTCGTTTGCCCATCTTTTAATTGGGCTATTTTCTTATTGTTGAGTTTTAAGAGTTCTTTGTGTATATATATATATATATATATATATTTTTTTTTTTTTTTTTTTTTTTTTTTTTTCATATGCTTATTTGCCATCTGTATATCTTCTTTGTGAAATGTCTGTTCGGGTCGTTTGCCCATCTTTTAATTGGGCTATTTTCTTATTGTTGAGTTTTAAGAGTTCTTTGTGTATATATATATATATATATATATTTTTTTTTTTTTTTTTTTTGTCTTTTTCGTGACCAGTAAGGGGATCGCAACCCTTGGCTTGGTGTCGCCCGCACCGCGCTCAGCCAGTGAGCGCACCGGCCATTCCCATATAGGATCTGAACCCGCAGCGGGAGCGACGCTGCGCTCCCAGCACTGCACTCTCCCAAGTGCGCCACGGGCCGGCCCTTCTTTGTACATTTTGGACAAAAGTCCTTTATCAGATATGTCTTTTGCTAATATTTTCTCCCAGTCTGTGGCCTGTCTTCCTTCGCCCATTTTTTGTCATTCACATTAAACAGAAAATATGCATGGTGTTGTATATAACCAATAAGTATTATCAAATCTATGCACACCTAAGATAAAATATTTAACTCTTAGAGTGTTGTTCTCTGGAGCTAAGAGAAACATTCTCTTAGTTCTTGCAATAGTCACACACATACACACACACACACACACACACAAACAAACAAATGGAATCTATGTAATGACAAGTTTGGGGATCTCTGCCAGTGTCAAGATTTTAGAAATCTAGCTGGAATGTTTTTTTTTTTTAATGCTCAAGAGAAAATTGAAGGAATCAACTCTCATGAGCCAGACAGGTCAATAACTGACTTACCTCAGCAGTACTGAAAATTTTGAGGGAGGCTTCTAGCATTACACTAAGTATTCTTTCAATTGCCCTTTTATCACCCACTCCACTTCAGATATACCCCCCCCCCTTCTTACCACTACGACAGGAATCATTCCTTTCGGGTCTAGAATCCACTCATTGAATTGCTCCCGCAGAGCCTGTTTCCGTGCATTGGCCACCTTGACTTTCACTTGGTTTATGAATTCTCTTTGTTTTCTTTTCTGTTCAGCATTGTTCTTCATCTTGGCTACTCTGAAAGATGTAGAAATAGAAAACATGTTAAGACCCTTGGATTTGATTCAGATCGTTCAAATAGCAGAATACAAGAGTTCAGAGCCTCATTTTAATTTTGTACATCTTTTCTACATGAAATCATCCTTGATTCAAGCCTGTAGTGAGTCCTCCTTCCCCTAGCACTTACTGAATTTGGCATTAATCATAGGCTGCTTTCTATTATTTGGTTTTTTATAGAGGTAGGCTTTATTTTATGCAGCTAAATACTATACTAAAGGAGTATTGGCCCCTCTCGCCCTGCCCCACCCCCCAGGATGGTTGTGGGAGGAATAGGGGTTAAAAAAAAAAAAAAAAGAAGTATTGATGGAAAGGTTAATTAGTACAACCATTATGGAAAACTGTATGGAGGTTCCTCAAAAGACTAAAAATAGAATTTCCATATGATCCAGCAAAACCTGTTCTGAGTATTTAACTGAAAGACTTGAAATCAGTTTGTCAAAGAGATGTCTGTACTCCCATGTTCATTGCAGCAGTATTCACAATAGCCAAGTCATGGAATCAACCTAAGTATCCATCAACAGATTAACGAATAAAGAAAATGTGGCACACACACACAATGGAATAGTATACAGCTTTTAAAAAGAAGGGAATTCTCTCATTTGCGAACTGGAGAACATTAAGTTAAGTGAAATAAGCCAGGCACAAAAAGGCAAATACTGCATTGTCTTGTTCTCACTTATATGTGAAATCTAAAACAATTGAACTCATAGAAGCTAACAGTAGAATGGTTGTTATATAGGCCAAGGTTGGGAGAAATGGAGACATGATGGTCAAGGAGTACAAAATCTCAGTTATACAGGAGAAATAAGGTTTTTGTTTAAAGATCTATCATACAGTATGCTGAATATAGTTAATAATTTAGTGTGTTATACAGCTTAAAATTGCTAAGACAGTAAATTTCAAATGTTCTCACCACGGAAAAATAATAAGTATTTGAGGTGATGGATATGTTAATTAGTTTGATTTAATTATTCCACATTGTATTAATAAATCATAACATCTTTTGTACCCTACAATTATATACAATTATAAATTGTCAATTTACAACTTAAAAAATAGTGTGAGAGTAGCCCTGGAAGCTGCCATATATACTATAAAGGCAAAGTAGGATGCACTAAGGCCTTAAGAGAGTGAGCCTCTTTTTTCTCTGAACACAGAAATCATCTGGAAGGACTCTGATTCTAGTCTAGGGTAGAAGCCTGGAAGATGCACTTACAATAAGCATCCCAGGTCATTCTAATGCCTTGGACTAAACTTGAGAAATCTGCCTAGGAGTATATCTTAGTCTTTTGCCTTTAAGTAGCCAGAGTCAAATGCTTTGTTAAACCCTGCTGAAGGCCTGAGCATAACACTTACCCTATGCTCAGCCAGAGCTGCATCACCCAGGTTGCGAATGGGGAAGAATTGTGATTTTAATTGCTCCTATGTTCATCATCCCTATTAGGACTTTGAAAACCCCAAACTGGTTTTGATTGAAATCAAATCAAATGACTCAGAATAATAAAAATAGCTGCTGGTTTCAAATGCGATTTTTTTCCAACAATATTTAAGGCAGGTATTCATCTTCCAAAGAAAGACTAAGACAATCTGACAGATTTTGAAATGCAAAAGGATTTTCAGTAAGAACTGGTAAATCAGATACCTCTAATAATTCAAAAGAAACTACTAAAATCTAAGTCATTATTTTATGCCAATTTAAGACCCTCAAAATTCTCTAGGAAAATAATACTTCAAAAATAAACTTTGAAATTTGAAAATAAAAGCAAGGAAACAGTTTAATAGTGCAGGAGAGTCTGTGTCTGAACTGCTGGAAGATTACTAAGTATTTTACAGGAAGTGTTAAGTTCCTCTGATGCAACTGATAAGCAGCCAAACCTCTTACTACCACTTCTCTCAGAGCCTCTAGTCCCTACTCCGTTTCTCCTGCTCTCCCCCTGCTCTTTCTCCTCCTGCAGCTTTATCTCTCTCCCTCTCTACATATAGCATTCTTAATTTCTGTATTCATTCCTACATGACTCTCTACTCTGTATCTTGGTCTTTCAGTCAGCTTTTCCTCATTATTCATTCATTTGCTCTCTTACTAAGTCAGTCAGTCACTCACTCATTACACAAATATGTATTGGGCACCCATAATGGATTCTGACATTATAAATCTTAGGGTTCAATAGCAGAACGCATAAGTTAAAGATATTGTGTAATAAGTATTGAGTGTCTCTAAATTCTCATGTTACAAAAACACAGACTCACAAAATTGGTTTTCTGTCATATCACCATCTGCTTGAAATATTTTTCTCCCTTTCCTTGTCTGACTAGATACTACATGTGCTTTAGATCTCAGCTCAGACATCATTTCCTCCCACTTATTGTTGCCTACAATTAGAAACAAAATCTAGTTTTGTGCTTCAGGGCCACTGTACATGAGATCCAAATATAATCCAAATGGGTTTTAAGTTGATTGTGTCGCTCATTCAAGGAATGGATAAAATTTCTCTTCTGTAGCTTGCATTATCCTGTGAGGATGTTCACATCAATCAACAGAATTCTAAAGCATCCAAAATCCTTAACTTTGGGCAGTATAGGGTACACATAACCCACAATCAGATTCTAAGTGTAAGGAGACTGGAAAGAAGGAAAAAACTACAGTGTCCTAAATTGTAAAATGGTCACATTCCTGTATGCATGTCTCTTTGCAATATTACTTTGCAGTGCCTCCCATGAAGAGGTGGAGTCTATTTCTGCATTGCTTGTGTTTGCCTGTGACCATGTAATTTACTTTGCCCAATGGGCCATTAGCAAACAGGATGCAAGCAGAAAGTTGAAAAGTGTTTGAACATTGGGTCTTGCCTTCTTTAATTGAACTTGGGAGCCCTTCTACTACCACCTTGGAAATGAGCCTAGGTTCGCCTACTGGATGTTAATCCAATTACCTCCATTGCTTTTGCAAATGGTCAGCCACCCTCTACAAAAACTAATTAAGGCCATCAACTTGAGATAGGAGGTGTTCAGTCTCCATGAGTTCAGGTTTCAGGACACACCTGTGAGTTTCAAGCCACTCCCCAAGGTGTCAGTCCCCTCCTCGAAGCCCTCCCCTAGAGGAGAATCACTGTTGCTTATTGCACCTATTTTCAGTACCAACATGGGGGGACTGAGACTCCAGGGGGCAGACTAATGCAAATCCAGTGGCTGAGCATCCTCAATAGAGAGGAGTTATATAACCCTAGTGGTCGAGCATGCTCAATAAAGTGGAAGTTAATAAACTCAGTGTTTGTTTGTTTTTAAGCTCTGGTAGTCTTAGTTTCACAAAGCTAAACTGGACTACTTGGAGCATGCCCATATTATTCCTGTGATGAGTATTCCTATAAAAATCCATATATGACATGTCTACTTGATTACTATACTTAATTCCTATTTTCTTTTTCTTTAGTCAACATACATCTTACTATCAAATGAGGCACCTGACATAACATGTAATAACCTAAGAAAAATCTAAGTAATTGGTTAATCAATGATATGTGAACAGATAAACAATTAGGCCTATTTGGAATTTTATAAAATGCTGAAGAACATTTATCATGGCATCCTCCCTCATTAAACAGTGATGATTAAGTCCAGAGATTTCAAATTTAAACATTCAATTACTCCAAATTAAGGGAAGTGTGAAAATGAGGTGACTCTCCTACAGACTTTAGGCATTAAGACATATCTCATCATAATCTTATGTATCTAAAAACAAAACAAAACAAAAAAGCAAAATAAAACAAAAACAAAAGAAAATTTTCATCATGAAGGCCGAAGCCAGATTGGAACAGGTTAATTAATTCATATAACAAATATTTATTGAGCATTACTCACAAGACATAGTGCTGGATGATGGAATTCAATAGTGAATATGACAAAGTTCTTATTTAATTATAGGAGCAGAAACAATTGTGATAAGTGCAACGACGGACAAACACAGGATGCTATGAGAACACATAAGGGAAGGTCCTGACCCAATTTCATGATGAAGTGGTATATGAACTGAAGACTAAAGGATTGGTAGGATAAGGTAAAGAGGAAGGAGAAGAGTGATACAGGCAGAGAGAATGGCATATGTAAAGACCCTGATATGGTAAGAAGCATAGTATGTTTGAAAAATTGAAAGAAATCCTGTGTGCCTGGAGTATAGTGTGAGGAGAGAAGGCAGGAGCCGGGGCTAGAAAGAAAGGCAGGGAACAGGTCATATAAGGAAGGTCTTACAGGCCTAGTTAGGAATTTGGGTTTTTATTCTAAAAGTAAAGGGATACCATTGAAAGGTTTCTCATTGGGGAAAAACATAAGATTAGCCTTTTCAAAAAAAAAATCAGTTCAGTTACAGATAAAGAATAGGTTGGAAGAGGGCGACAGTGGATGTAAATACGTGAACTAGGAGACATTGGAATAGTGCAGGTGAGAGATGATGACAGATTTAACTAGGATGAAAGCAGAGGGGGAAGGTCAGAAATGAACAAATTTGATAAAAGAAGGTAAGATCACCAGGACTTAATGATTGAGCAGTGGGGAAGCAGAAGGTGTCAAAATTTATTCCTCAATTTTTGGTTTGGGGACTTAGATGGATGGATAGCCACGTAAAGACAACGACTTGTTGAAACTGAGGTGTTTGTGAAACATCAAAGTGCAGCTATTGAATAGACAGTTGGGTGTACTTGGTGTAGAGCTCAAAGAAGGTGCTTGGGCTAGAGATATAAATCAAAAAGTCATGGATAGATGGTAACAGAAGTCATGTGTTGGAATGAGAACTCTCAGGGTTGCATTATACAGCGATAGGAGAATATGGCCTAGCTCCAAGCTTTAAGGAACCTTAATATTTGAAGATCAGGTAACAGAGAATTAGCCAGCAAAGGACACTGAGAAGGACTAAACAGAAGTAAAAGGAAAACTAGGAAATTACAATATCATGAAAGAGAAGGAAAAGATAT